TTAATTTACAGTATAATGGACTGTATCATATCTTGACATTGTTTATTTAAGATCTGCACAGTATCTTACTACAGCTTGTGAGTGGTTAGATGTTGAGTGTTATTTGAGTGTTTCCTGTGGAGCTAATGTTAATTAATTGATGTGAGCTTTATACTCCAACTGAAAAAAATGCAATGTTTTATATGGTTACATTTCATTTTGATGATCTCCTTAATCAATCGACTATAAGCAACTTTGGAACTACATGCCAACTAACTCTCATTAGAGTATTAGTATGCTCAAGAATGGTAGAATCTAGTATGGTAGAATAAGTAGACGTACTTGCAAAGCCACTTATAGTCAGTTTATCTGTTGGTTGACCATCAAAATAAAGTGTTAGCATATATTTACAGTAGCAGACATACTAATACTCTAATGACCGCTAGTTGATATGTAGTTGCAGAGTCACTTATCAACAGCTGTTTAAAGGGTACCATCAAAATAATCAAACTGATATCACATACATCTGATGATCTTATGGCTCTTATGGCTGTTTGAGAGAATTTTTTATTATTATTATTATTATTATTACTACTTATAAGACCGCTTTAAATACATTATAACTATGAGAAATTTAATCCATTGTAAAAGTGGATGCAACGTGTTCATTGTGTTATAAATCATCATACTCTTAAAAGCTATAACCACAAATAAGTAAATATTATAATATATTAAAACTGTTCTTATGAATATTCATGAGATGATACAACGTATTATAAGGTTTTTTATAATGCATTATGCATTCATTATAATGCCTTAAGAATACCCTTATAATGTATTATAAATATGGGCTTCATAGAAAGTGTTACCAATAATTGTATAAACAGTTCTGTGCTCTATTCAGGGAGTATGCATACTTAGAAAGAGAGTTGAGCTGTTCCTGGATCAGTCCTTTAATTTCATCTTTTTCTTTGTAGTCTCTAAGAATGGAAGCACAAAATACAAGTCAACAGTTTATCTTTTGTCTGTTCAATTGTACAATGTAAAGGGTTGCCCACATGGTAGGTACACACTACTAGGCATTTTGGTTGACTACCTACTGTAAGTGTCATAGGAACGATGCATTATAGTGCCATCCCAAAAAGGCACAAAATCACTTTCATAGACTTTTACATTTACTGTTCCCTCCTGGTGGAATGTCCTGCCCAACTCAATCCAAGCAGCTTAGTCATCTTCAAGAAACGGCTAAAAACACATCTCTTCCATCTTTATTTGATCCTCTAACTCCAGCACCCTCTATTCTAGTTCTATTTTATCTATTTATTTTCCTAGAAAAAAAAAAACATTTGACCCTTCATATTTCTTTTTATTCAAAACAAGAATATAATAATTTTCAATCTCTTATGTCACAATGTATTTTGAGAGTTACACATGTAACAGATGTGATGAAACAAACTATAACCATGCTGAAATAACTGGTTTTACACAAAAGGAGCAATATTTACAACATTTAGGAGTTAAAATATTGTAAATTCTCAATATTTCCAGATTTTCAACGACCATGAGAACCCTGTATTAAACTATGCATACATACATGATGCTGTTTTGTTTATAGTTGTTTAAGCAACTTAATTAATTATAATTGGTTTATAAACATTATTTTAAACATTATGCACTTTTTTTCACAGATAGTCATGTTATCTTATGCTTTGAAGAAACGTGCATTAGTAATATTTTGCTTGATGCGCCCTCTTGTGGCCTCAGGAGAGAATCCAAAAGCTTTTCTTCACCCTAACTGAAATTATGCATTTTAAATTTGAATATAATTCGAATTTTGATAATATTTAAGTACAAAATTCGAATTTAGATTTTCAGCCATTTTGACAGCCCTACTGTAGACTTCTAAAATCTCATTCATCGATTGATTGAAGGTTCCTTTATAATTAATAAAATATTTTGTCTTTGCAGTCATGCCTGCTTCATATCACTAAAAGGGAAAACAACTGATCCTTCGCAAAAACCTGCCCTCCTTAGTTACTGTTGTTATGTCCGACAAGCCATGCCATTCTCACACTACACATGTTCTCACGCAGTAAAAAATACATTGCGGAGCTAAGAGGAAACTGACAACACGCCAAGAGAGAGAGAACAGAGCGGGTTACTTCTGGTATGAAGCAAGGTCTCAGCTTTCAAATTTTGTCATTTTTTAAGAAATGTAAACAATAAATACCGTTGTGTGGCTCTTTAGATCGCTGCAGCAGCGCAGTTCAAGTGGCACATGAACCGATCGTCTTTTCATATTTACACGAAATAAACATGAATCAGAACATATTTTATTTCAACTGCGGAAAGATGTCAATAGAATACACACAATTTTTCAAGTTTAAGTCTGTTCAAGTCATGTCGAACAGATCGTATTTATGAGCTAAATGCACATGAATGCCACCACAAAGTCATAATCACCAATGAGAAAAATGGCGGAACTGATGGATGTAATGATATTCCACAATACAGATAGGTATTAAGCAGTGACATTGTCAGGCTTTCTTTTCACACAAGAAAAAAAAAACCTGTTTGAATAAAATATGACAGGATTTTAATATAACAATAACAAGTGTTTATACGATACAGTTTAAAGTGGCTTCATAAATTAGTTAAAAAATAAAAATGCAAAACACACCTGATGGGCATTCTTTGCTCTTCATTTTCTATAAGCAGTTAACAAACCTTTTATTTTTGTGTAATTTATTTCACACACAGAAAAAAAGGGGTTTAAAATTGTACCTTTTGGGGTACAACAGCTTGTCCCTGGAGCAGTACCCTTAAAAGGACATATTTGTACCCTTTTTACCCCTAATAGGTACATATTAGTACCTTAAGAGTAGTAATACGTACCCTTGAGGTACTAATATGTACCTATTATAAGGTACAAATATGTCCTTTTAAGGGTACTGATCCAGGGACAAGCTGTTGTACCCCAAAAGGTACAATTCTGGCCCCTTATTTTTCTGTGTGCACCGCCATCTTGTGCCAACGAAAGTGACTTAAATGCACCTGTCGTCGTAAACACGACTTACTAGCTCGTATGTACGAACATCCCAGGAGGACTTGAATGCAGCAGTTATCTACTCTCCTGTATGATTTGTTTGTCGGACAAAATGGCAGATTAGGTCATGATTGGTCAGATCGCCTGTCAATCAAGCTCCCTGAGAAGGGTCAATTAATTAAAAAATATCTTGTTATATGAGCATGACTGAAAACGTACTCGGTTACTAACGTAACCT